CAATGGTAGATTATAATACGGATAGCCTCCTGAATTCTTACTTGTTTCTGAATTAATCATTATGTCCCAAGTTTGCTAAAGCTTTTCATTTTAATAATGTGATGTTTACATAAATCTATATATACATACATACATATTTCTATATGTATAAATGTATACCTTTAGATTTATAATATAATTTCAGTAAAAGAATGAGTAGAATTTTTAAGTCTACTTGCAACTTTTTTGTAACTAGAATCTGACTTCCCTCTGGAAGTGGTCCAGTTTTCTAGAAAAAGTAGAAATAGCCAAATGGAATAACCAAGATCAACTCACATTTTAGCTCACAATATCAATACACAGGTTACATAGGCGAATCACCTTTCCTGCTAATGAGCTTTGGGTTTAATTTTAAGAGTAGTATATTACATAAATGGCCAAAATTCTGAGATATGTTTACCTAGTTAACCTAGGACAACAATCAAAAGTAAATTTGTTCCTCAAAATGTATTCAACTCAAGAAAATACAAATTACATAACTGTAAATACTTTCTAGCACTAGTAAATAAACTATAATAAATTCAATGGACTATGTAATTCTGTTGCTGTGAATCACTGTTATTAAAACTTAATGTTCTCCTAGAAATCATATTCCAATTTTACAGATCTTGAAACTTGCAGAATTAAAGGGTAGATGGTTTTTCCAACTCAATATCTTACGCACTGCTTTGTCCAGGAACTACTGTTATCTAAGTGAAATAATTGCACACGATTCCCTGAAGTACAATGGCAAGAAGAAAAAACTTAGACCCCAGCAGGAAAGAAGAAAGGTCTCTCGTGCCTGGAAGAACTGAGATATGATGATATGCGAACTGTCTAGCACAACTTCTGTTATGCAGTAGGAACTCAAAAATGGTAACTTACATTTTCTTCAACTCATTTTTTTGTACTGCTCTGTTGTTATGGATGGTTTAGAAATTCTTATGATTTTATTAGATGATTAAGATGTCTAAAACAAATGAAAGCATAGCTGTTCTTTGATAACAGGACATTAATGTAGCTCTCTTGGATCCTCTCCTCCAATATAAATAAGAATCAATTAAGTTCTTTCAGTATAGACAATACCTGTTAGCTACTTGTGATTTACTAACTGCTGTGGCATAAAATTCAAAGCACTATTTAATAGGTTTCTCTCTTCCAACGGAAAAGTTTATTAAATGGATCACTTCACAGAAAGTTATAAACTAAAATTACAGCCTTTAAAAACCTCCAGTGATATAACTAGTGGAGATATTCAACAGGTATTTCTATTATACATGCTTAATCTGTGTGTATACCTGTACAGGTTAAAAAGTGCACAAGGATCAGTATCCTGAGACTGATTTATCTGACAGAGAGAAAGATCACAAGTAGGCAGAGAGGCAGGCGGGAGGTGGGGGTCAGGGAGCAGGCTCCCTGCTGAGCAGACAGCCTGATGCGGGGCTGGATTCCAGGACCTTGAGATCATGACCTGAGCCAAATGCAGAGGCTTAACCCACTGAGCCACCCAGGCACCTGAAGACTTCTTATTTTAATTAAATGAGGTAAATCTAAGGATGAAGAACTATAAACATATAAGTAGATTTTTTTTTTAAGATTTTATTTATTTATTTGACAGACAGAGATCACAAGTAGGCAGAGAGGCAGTCAGAGAGAGAGGAGGAAGCAGGCTCCATGCTGAGAGAGAGCCCCATGTAGGGCTCGATCCCAGGATCCTGGGATCATGACCTGAGCTGAAGGCAGAGGCTTTAACCCACTGAGCCACCCAGGCACCCCAATAAGTAGATTTTTAAAAATACATGATTGGTTATACAAGCTATTTATCAATAAAGCTGTTATTTAAGAAAAATGCTTGCCATATCTCTTTACAAAAACTGCCCAAACTCTGGTGTAACTGTGTGTTAGTTCTTCTAAATAATACTTGCATTTTAGTTCTTTTAACCTAAACTATACGATTCCCACCCCCCAAAAAAAACTAACAAAAAGAATCCTTTCACAATATACATTTCTTGAGCAACTCCTTATTTTGCCAAAACTGCCATTAATTCATTTGGGTAACTTTCTTGTGTTAGGAAAATGGCCCCTTTCTTAACTACAGAGAACCTACAATACTTTTCTGAAGGTCTCTGCTTCTAAAACTTATTCATTCACATACTGAACCTCAAACTCTTAACTACCTTTCTAAACCTCAAACTTTTAACTACCCTTCTAATGGGACAAAAGCAGAGGTCTTCAAAAAAATGAGAAGGAGTACAAATTTCAGACTGGTGATTCTCAACTGTATCTCCCACATTTTGACACTTGGCCCGTGGAGAGGGGAGGAGTTGTGTAGAAGTAAGCCCTCTTTCCCCCAGCCCCAACCTGGAACTTACCCGATAAAATGATGTTACTGATGGGAGTATGAAAAAGTGTGAATAGTGCAGAGGCAGAAAAAGGTTTGAGATACTCTTTTATCCAATATTCTGAATTGTGGATTAGCAGCATCATGTTTACTCATTCCCTTAGTAATACGTGAAGGGAAAAAAATCTAGATTGGTGAATCTGAGAAACACATTTTAAATAATTAATAAAGACTGTACATGAAAACCTATATGCCCAGCCTCTAAATTTTCAAATTTAAATTGATTTAGAACTTGTGAAACACAAACCTTTATAGCAGAACTAGAAGTCTGTTCCCACCAGGCCCTCATACCTGATAGCAGCCAATCCGGCTCCTTCAAAACTCTGAAGAATTAACTACATCAAGAGTCATCATTTTTATGCATTTCATATTTAAACAGCAAATGTATAGATTAAGAATAAAACTCACAGAAGTCTAAATTAATGTGCCTTTCCCTAGACATCACGTCTTTTGGCCAGGAAACACTGAATAACTGGCAATTTACTCCAAAACCTTTTGATAGTTATGTCACTGAAGATATTCATATGTCAAATAAAAAAGCAATACTATAAAGATACCTACTAATTGATTTCCCTATAATATTCTGTAATTTAAACTCTCTTACCTATAATGTTATATGACAAACACTATTCTACTAATAAGACAGAATCCTAGAATAAGATTATATTGGTTACTAAAAGTAAATTTAAGTAAAAAAAATTACAAATGACTTGGTTTTAGATCACAGAAACTTTCTGTATGTGAATATAAGAAAGCTGTCAATGTTACCTCCTTACACTCTTCACCTTCTTTAGAATGTCAATAACTTCTCAATCTAGTCAGAATTAATTACTTCAGAATACTTCCTTTGGTCAATTCTCTTATTTTCATGATTTTTCAACTCATGTCTTTCAATCTAATTTATCTGGAGAGGATTTTCTCAAATAAATAGAGGGAAGAAGGGAGGATCAACATTCTATTAGTGACCCAAATTCAAGAACTTTCAATATCGATATATACAAACTTGAAATTGAGTTTGGTATTATTTTAAAAGGAAGCGTTCTTTTCCAAACCTCGCTGACATTTTTTCAGCTTTTAAAAGGAACTGGATCTACTGTCAACAGATGTTAAAAAGCACAGAAGAAACAGACTTTTAGTTCTATATAGATTCAATAAGTCTATAAAAAATAATCTCAAAAGATACAAAAGAAATCAGTTAGTCAATTTCTACTTGTGGATTTAAAGTGAAATATTTCATTAAAAATCTTTTTTTTTTTTTCTTATTTTATCATTTGATACAATTTTTAAACAATATTTAAAATTTTAAATTCCAGAAAAAATATTCAGGGACATTTTAGAACCCAGTGGATATAAAGTAAAACCAGGTCTTCTTACCAATTTGATTACTAAAAAGATCACAGTTAAATCCACAGAATCTGTTAGAAAATGTCTGGCAACACATGAACAGTGAGCAGGGCTGATAAGTTTCTTTGCTATGTTTAAAGTTTTCCTGCCCTCAATCAGGAAGGCTGCACACTGAGTACATAGCTCAGGGAAAAGATCCGTACACAAGGTTAATGGTACATTGGTTAATGCATACAAGAAAAATATATGAAGTTCTAGTACAGTACCAAATCCTTATTTAAACCACAACCTTCCACTTCACTGTTCTTTTTGAAATAAAATGAATTTACTGAAAACAACACTGTGATGGATTTTAAGTACCATTTAAAAGATGAGAGGTATCATTGGATAAGAAACCTCTACTTAGAAGGATAAAACTTCAGAGTATAATTTTTGTCCTTTTCTTTTTTAAACCGAACATACTTAGCAGTGTTTAAAACCCAACTAAAAAAAATAAATACAGTTGGGCAATCTAATATTACTGAATGCACTCATGATAATCAAGACTTTTTTCTATTAGTTTATCCATCAATCTTTTATTCTGGTTCATTAAAAAATGGAACCAATTTTATACAAAGTGTATGATTTGAGAGCTGAGCAAAAATTAATTTGATAAACTTCAAACATTATTTTCCATACTTTTTCATTGATATTACAAAATGTCTTTACATAAATATTACATTCAAATCTTCCATTACTTTCAACTGACTTTAAAAGAAATCTAAAGTCACTTGTTTTTAAATGTAGGGAAAAGGTTATAATAACACACTACAAACAGAAAAGAGACTTGAGTACTTGAGTCCTTTTTCAGATTATATAAAATAAAGCATTTTTCTCTTTCAGCAAATTTTAAAAAATAATAATTAAATAGGGACTCAGATGTAATTTTCTATCCATAGCTTGGTATATAACTTTTTTATGTGCAGTCAACAAAAGAGCTTCAAGCTTATTTCCACAGCTGAAGATAAGCTCCTAGAAAATAAATAGCACTAACAGTTGTGCCAATGTGAAATTTTAAGAAATAAGAATTATATCAAGAAATGTATATTGAAATATTTTAAGGTTAAAAGTATATTTTTAAACCTCTTTAAAAAAAACCCTCAAATCACACTCTTTTTGATATGAACTTTGCCAGCACTGTTCATGTTGGCCAGATAATACACTAGTTTTCTTTAATAAAATAAAATGAAATGCATACCAGCAGCAACTACAGCTGGAGGAGGCGAGCCTGCCTCACCACCACTTGTCTGACTCATTGATGCTACAGATGTTTCTCTAGATGGAGGTAACTGTAACTCCTTTGGGAGAAGATCATAGACAGATTCTGTAGGAGGAAGGAGAAAAAAATTTTAAAAGAGTGTAAGTCAATAACCTAATACATAAACATGAAATTAATAGGTCTTTTCACTCAGGAGGAAAACTATATTATTCACACACACACGTAAAAAGAACTCCATATAACTACTGTTGTAAAGAATGATTAGCAATTTTTTTTTTATTATTCTATTTTACTGAAGAGTGAATTTTCCATTAGTTCTGTCCCCTGTTTTCTTCTTGGTCTCTTCCTTTATATTAAAGATGCTAAGGCTATTAAATTTTAGAACTGAATAAACTCAGACAAAATATAAGAAATGTCAAATAACCCAAAATGGTACAATCTCTTTCTGTGTAATAATAAGAGTGTAACTTACCATCATACTCTTATCAGCTTTAAAATGGCTTCTCCAATGAGACCACTAGTCTAGCCTTACTCTTCTACCTAGCACCTTAAAGCAAATACTTTAATTCACTATCATAATGCATTTTTCTCTCCCCCAAAAAGCTAAACAAGGAATGTCATAACTCAAGGAAATATTATATTTTTATTCTGAGCTATCTCCAAACTCTAGAAAGGCACAAGTATAGGATACTCTTAAATCAGAAAGGATAAATGCCTAAATTAGAATATAATTACTTCTATGTTTGTTTATTTAAGATTTTATTTATTTATTTCTGAGAGAGAGAGAGAAAGGAGAGAAAGCGCAAGCAGGGGGAGTGTCAGGCAGTGGGAGAAGCAGGCTCCCTGCTGAGCAAGGAGCCCAATGCGGTAAGATGGATACCTCTATCCAAGGACCCTGGGATCATGACCTGAGTTGAAGGCAGACGCTTAACCAATTGAGCCACCCAGGCATCCCTATCTTTTATTGTGTTCATATATCTTTTTAAGGTACTTTATAATCACTGTCCATAAATTTACGTTTATATCTACTATTTTAAAAATTCATTTATAGGGACACCTGGGTGGCTCAGTGGGTTGGGCCGCTGCCTTCGGCTCGGGTCATGATCCCAGCGTCCTGGGATCGAGTCCCACATCAGGCTCCTTGCTCAGCAGGGAGCCTGCTTCTCCCTCTGCCTCTGCCTGCCACTCTATCTGCTTGTGCTCACTCTCGCGCTCTCTCTTTCTGACAAATAAATAAATAAAAATCTTTAAAAAAAAAAAAATTCATTTATATGGGGCACCTGGGGGGCTCAGGGCGTTAAGCCTCTGCCTTCAGCTCGGGTCATGGTCTCAGGGCCCTGGGATCGAGCCCTGCATCGGGCTCTCTGCTCGGCAGGGAGCTTGCTTCCTCCTCTCTCTCCCTGCCTGCTTCTCTGCCTATTTGTGATCTCTCTCTCTGTCAAATAAATAAATAAAATCTTTTTTTAAAAAATTCTTTTATAGTTATTATTGTATGGTTTGGGGCACAAATTAATTCTCAAAATATCTTGTAAAGGTGGCAGAATCAATGTTGGAAGGAACTTCTAATGACCACTTAGAATCATATGCTCATTTTCAAAAGAATGGAGACATAGCGTTTAAGGAACTTGCCCAGTATTCCAAGAAAGCCAACACTCCAACAAATAAAAAAGACTATTAATCATTTGCATGAGGGATTAAAAAACAAAGGTAGCTCTCTAAGACATTTTATCCTTGATAACAAACAATACTTTTAGCTTACTGATCACTGAATATATACATACTTTGATCCTTCCAATTAATCTTTGAATTATGTATACCAACTTTGACATGGATAGGTGTAAGGAAGAATGGCCTGAAAGAAAGCTAAAACTAGAAGTTTTACAATTAAATGATCTTTACTCGCAGCACAGAATCAACTGAAAATTGTCTTTTGAAAAACTCTAATACCTAACACTTGGAGAACCTAATTAAAACAGAAATGCCACTATCATAGGATATTGGTTTTAAAACAATAATCTGTCTCAATACATGCTGAGAATAAGACTTCCTTATGCATAAAAGAGAAACATACTCAAGTCCTTCCTTTTTGTCCAAACAAACCAAAAGGAAATATGAAAATAAAAACAGCTTAGATGAAAAGAGAAAGGGTCTATCAAAATATATTTCCATCAGGAAAAAAAAAAGTCCTAGTAATAGCCCATCACTGACAGCACTTTACTAGTTTAGGAAGTATTTCTCCACTTCTTTAATTATTAAATAAGTCAAAACAAAACAAAACTGTGTGGGCTGAAACACTCTACCTTTCCCAAAGAAGCGTATAAAATTGAATCTATATGAGAGGTATAAAAGCAATGTTAATAAAAATACACTGTAAAGTAATTAAATATTAGAACTTATTATATCTTAGCTCTCCGCACAATCTACCCCCCAAAACAAACAAAGTAACATGCAAGGTGAAGTAGAAGGTGTAGGAAGCATGGACTCATTCCTTCATCAAAGGTATTTTCTGATTAACTGACTCAAGTGTTCAGAAATTAAAGAAGTCAGAAATTTTATCATATCTACCCAAGGGAAGAAGCATTTAATACAGTCATTACCATCATAGGCTCTGATTTCAAACATAACTGGGTTGGCTCTGTTACTCCAAACAATCTAAGACTTAAATCCTCATTTAAATTTTTCTTTTACCCCATTATCTTGAAGAAACTCTCCCCAAGCTGTACTTGTACAACCCAACCACATATACTGGCCTTACTCTTAAATCTGCTTCCCATAAGACATAAAAAGATTAAAGGAATGTAAATTATGCTGTTAATACTAAAGTCATTTACTCCTAAATTCAATCCAAATTACAGTTTTACAGTATCCACTACCCAATGAAAGAACTCCTGAACAAGATCATAGATACTTTAAAATCCACGAAATTGAGGGGCGCCTGGGTGGCTCAGTCATTAAGTGTCTGCCTTCGGCTCAGGTCATGATCCCAGGGCCCTGGGATTGAGTCCTACATCGGGCTCCCTGTTCAGTGGGAAGCCTGCTTCTCCCTCCCTCCTTCCCCTGCTTGTGTTCCCTCTCTCGCTGTATTATCTCTGTCAAATAAATAAATAAAATCTTTAAAAATAAATAAATAAAATAAAAAAATAAATCCACGAAATTGAAAAATAGTCCTAAGTTGGTACTAACCACTTCATGTTAAGACATTTTATCTATTTTCCTTGTGTTATCTTTTAAACTAGTTAAATAAGGAAGGAATGAAATTCTAGGTTTATAAGCACATAATATGAAGACCAAGACCAGGAAATCCATAATGGAAAGGCAGTTTCTTGAGGAAACACTTCATTAGAAAACAAAAGTAAAATCACTTCTAGATTTCTTTCTTTTTTTTTAAAAGAAGAGAGTGAGAATGGACACAAGTTTTCTTTTGGGGATGGCAAAAATGTTCTAAAATTGGATTATGGTAACAGTTACACAACTCTGTAAATAAACTAACCACTACTGAATTTGTATATTTTAAATGAGTTAATTTCATGATACGTAAATTATACATCAGTAAAGATGTTTCCAGAAAGAAAGAGAGAGAAAGAAATAGAACAAAGTACAAGTGAAATTGCACAAGAGCAAGATATGTCTCTCACTGTTCCTAATAAACCTCTGGATAAAAATATCTATTCACATAGCTCCTATTTGTGAAAAGTGAAATTATGAAGGCCAAGCTGCACACTAATCTAATTTGCTTTTTTAAGGCTCTTCTATTAGAGGTCAGGAAAATGCCACAGATATAGTTATCCTAAATTCAGTAAAATATCTGACGAAAAGCTTACAAAGTTCTCATAACCACGATGAAGAAAGGTAGGCTTAATAAAACAGATGACTCTGAGCAACAGCACCCAAAAATGTATGGGTTCAACCTGGAAGGAGGTGGTTACTGCATCAATAACTTAAAGAGATCAAATTTGCGAATAACATAGGCTTAAGAGAGATATATTGTGCATCATAATTCATCACAGACCATACCACACCGGAATATCTACCCAAAGGAATAAGTGAAATTTAGTTGGTAAAAACTGTTCCTGTACAATGTACTGAAAGGCACTTTCTCTTTTTTTTTTAAATTGACAAATAATTTTGGTTTTGTTTTCTTTATTCTTTTCTTTTTCTTATTTTAAATAGGCTCCATACTGGGTGTGGAGCCCAATGTGGGGCTCAAACACATGACTATGAGATCAAGACCTGAACCAAGATCAAGAGTTGGATGCTCAAATGACTAAGCCACCCAGGTGCACCTTTATTTTAAGTAAACTCTATGCCCAGCATGGGGCTTGAACTCACAACACCAAGGTCAAGAGTCCCATGTTCCACCAACTAAGCCAGCCAGGCACGTTTTCTAAGGAATTCTTTCCCTGGTCGGCCAGGATTGAAGTGACTATTATCTTATCTATGTTTTCTATTTATGCTGCTAATAATTTATGCATTAATGTTTAACCAACTCACTTAACGGTTCATTATGAATTTCAGTTGACCAAAATCCCAAGTAAGTGCACTGCTTAAATATCCCTGTGGTAGAATTAGGACAGGTATGAAATAACTTTATAAATAAAAAAACAACTTTGTTATGTGTAACAATACAAATAACTTTGTTATTAGTAACTTTTGAACAAATAACTTTATAAACAGAAATTTTTTTTTTAAGATTTTATTTATTTATTTGACAGAAAGAGATCACAAGTAGGCAGAGAGGCAGGGAGAGAGAGAGGAGGAAGCAGGCTCCCTGCTGAGCAGAGAGTCCGATGCGGGGCTCGATCCCAGGACCCTGAGATCATGACCTGAGCTGAAGGCAGAGGCTTTAGCCCACTGAGCCACCCAGGTGCCCCTGTTAACAGAAATTATTAACATAAATATATGAAAAAGTGTATGAAAACTAGGCAGAAAGGGAAACAAGCTCAGAAGATCAAGACTTTGTCTTACGTTGGTGCTATACTGTAGAGCCTATGGCCATTAGAAGGAAGGAAGAAATGGAGGAATTAAATTATTTTCAGATACTGAAAGCAAACCAATGTTTCCCAGTGTTGGGTGTTAAGGAGAACAATGTAAAAATGGGCTGACTG